ACGAGTTAAATTAAATTAAAAGTTTTATTGGTATTAATATTTATTTATGTGTGCAGTACAAAGATGTTGCGAATCTGCGTTAGTGGAATTTACAGCTAGTGTCAACAGGAAGTGCTTCTGTGACGGTATCCGGTGCGTTTGAACGCTCGTGCACACTTTGCAGCTCAGAGGCTGATGTGACAGTGTACAGGTGCTTATTGGGTAGTAATTATAATATTTCACCTAGTCCTGGTCATTAGAGTGGGTTTGTGTGATGACGACACACAGAATTAGCATTAGCGTAGTTAGCATGGTTAGCGTGTAGGCTAAGTCTGCTAGCTAGCTGTTGACACTAGCAGCATCAGTGCTGCTGTTTATTTACACTGAGCTTCCAGTTTATGAAGTGCACGTGCCTTTAAAGTTCACTGTGCAGGTATACAGTTACACACTGTGGTCCATCTGCTGTGTGCAAATTGCCACTTTTCCTCCATCACTGGTCGTTCACTGTTAACTTAAACTTACAGCTTTACCTCTGACTGTTACAAAACACTGACACTGGAGACTCCTTCCATAAACGCTAAATAAACATCTTACACAAAACCTTATCATATTTACAATGACTTAAAAACAGTTTATGTGGCGCATCCTCCATAAAACTCCCAGTCTAAGTTGTTAGTATAGAAACTATAACACACATATATACATGTGTATATATATACTGTGTGTATATATATATATATATATATATATATATATATATATATATATATATATATATATATACTCACACACACACTGCTCAAAAAAATTAAGGGAACACTTAAATCACACATTGGATCTCGATGGAGGAAATATTCAAGTTGAAAATCTTTACTTATATACATTGTGTGATTTGTTGAGAACAAAATGATGTCACGATGGTCAATGGAAGCCAAAGTCATCAGCACATTGAGGGCTGGATTCAAATCACACTGAAAATCAAAGTAAAAAATTGAAATTACAGGCTGATCCACCTTGCATGAATTTCATCATGGCAACTCATAATGTAAGTCAGTAGTGTGTATGGCCCCCACATGCCTGTATGCACTCCCGACAACATCTGGCCATGATCCTGATGAGATGGTGGATGGTGTCCTGGGGGATCTCCTCATAGACCTGGATCAGGGCATCGGTGAGCTCCTGGACAGTCTGGGGTGCTACTTGGCAGCTTCGGATGCTCAGATACATAATGTCCCTGAGGTTCTCAATTGGATTCAGGTCTGGGGAACGTGAGGGCCAGTCAATAGCATCAATGCCTTCGTCATCCAGAAACTGCCTACGCACTCTGGCCACATGAGGCTTGGCATTGTCATGCATCGGGAGGAACCCAGGGCCCACTGCGTAAGGTCTGACAATGGCTCTGAGGATTTCATCCCGGTAACAGCAGTAAGGGTACCGCTGGCTAGCACGTGGAGGTCTGTGCGACTTTCCAAGGATATTCCTCCCCAGACAATCACTGACCCACCCCCAAACTGGTCATGCTGGATGATGTTGCAGGCAGCGTAACGTTCCCCACGGCATCTCCAGACTCCTTCACGTCTGTCACATATGCTCAGTGTGAACCTGCTCTCATCCGTGAATACAGCGGGTCGCCAATGGTGGATCTGCCAATTCTGGTGTTCTCTGGCAAATGCCAATGGGCTGTGAGCAGAGGTCCCACTAGAGGACATTGGGCCCTCATGCCACCCTCATGGAGTCTATTTGACAGTTTGGTCAGAAACATGCACACCAGTAGCCTGCTGGAGGTCATTTTGTAGGGCTCTGGCAGTGCTCCTCCTGTTCCTCCTCGCACAAAGGAGCAGATACCGGTCCTGCTGTTGGGTTGTTGCCCTTCTATGGCCCTGTCCAGCTCTCCTTGTGTAACGGCCCGTCTCCCGGTATCTCCTCCATGCTCTTGAAACTGTGCTGGGAGACACACCAAACCTCCTTGTGACGGCACGTATGGATGTGCCATCCTGGAGGAGCTGGACTACCTATGCAACCTGATTTGGTTGCAGGTACTGCCTCATGCTACCAGTAGTGATAAGGACCCTAACAAAACAAAAACTTAGAGACAACTCAGTCAGGAAGGATAAGGAGAGAGCAATTGTCTGTGGCCACCACCTGCAAAATCATTCCCTTTTTGGGGGTTGTCTTGCTGTTGCCTCTCCAGTGCACCTGTTGTCACTTTCATTTGCACCAAAGCAGGTGAACCTGATTCACAATCACTTATGCTTCCTAAATGGACAGATTGATATCCCTGATGCTGCTACAGGTTATCGCTAAAAATATGCCAAAACAGTCTTCTATTTTCCTCCCAAGAAAACAGCAGATGAGCCAATCGAATCTGGAATGATTGACAGTTGCGTATGTGTTTTGAATTCTCTGATATTAACTGACCCCTTGCAAAGCCCCGCCCTTCTCTCATCTTATTGCTGCATTCAACTTACCTCAGAAGTGGGAAGTCGAAGCTTGAAATGATGACCTCCATGTATTTGAGGTACAAAGTGGGAAAAAATATGGATGACGCTATGTTCATGTTTTGTTAGCAACAAGCTATCCAGCTAACTGTGATGAGTGATGTATATTTTCCTCAAAGTAAATGAGCAAATGGTGGCACAGGAGCTCTCAGGAGTGCATTTGTTTAATTCTTGCTAATTTTCTGACCAATGATTTGTTAAGACTATTAAAAGCTTAATATTTGCCATTTTGGGCTTGGCCCATTTTTTTGCCCAGGAGTGTATATATACAGCATTTAAAGATACTTTGTTTACTGCTGATGCTGTGAGCGGCCACGTTGACTTGAGGTCACTCACTGAACTCAGAGAAACTTGTAGTTGCGAAGACTGCTCCAAGTTTCTCAGTAGGAATTTCAAGTTGGGGAGGCATTATCTTTAGCTTTTCATGGTTGGGAATTACAAGTTATGATCTCTATTTGCATGCTATATATAAAACCAGTGCAAGAAAGAAAATGCGTGCAATCCGTGCCTGATGTAGTGAAAGGTATGAGACTAGTGGGGAGTCAACAAAAAGTACAAGGGAGTATGGATTGACGTAGTGGTAGTGAGAACCTGACTCGCAACATGGCAAAAAAGGTTGATTCAACTTTATGCAAATT